TATTTGCTCTACGTGGCACACATTAACAAAGTGAAATAACCATCAACCATTAGAAAACAAATCAGGTCTAAAATGACTTGTATCAGTGAAAAGGGGTAACATGCTGATTTATAGAAATATTCATGCGAAAATACTTTTGATGTAAAAAACTGATGTGTTGCTATTTGCTCTACGTGACACACATTAACAAAGTGAAATAACCACCTACCTTTTCAAATCGACAGGTGCTTGAAGCTATGCACTTCATAAATAAATAACAATTATACAACTTTTCATTAAAATCAGACGTTTTGATTGGTTGGCTTTCGTGTGTTATCAAAGTATAGATACACGGATTACGTCAAAACTAATTGTTTGTTGTATAAAACAGATAGATCTCATTTTTCCGTGTGTGTGTGTGTACTCTAATAGATATACAGATGACGTCAAAATGTAGTGAGAACAACAGTCAAGCACTCGACTGCGTCTCGTGCGTACTTTTTTTGTTCTCACTACATTTTGACGTCATCTGTGTATCTATTAGAGTACACAGGCACGGAAAGATGAGATCTATTTGTTAAATAAATACTAATAACCTTAATTTCAAGACGGTAAACTACATATATAAATATAAACGATTACAATATACTAATAACATGTGAAAGGTAGAGTACGCACACTAAAAATGTGCAACATAAATACCACTAAATACTGCTAAATTATGCTAATTCTATTGTTTTCTATTGTTTAATTAACACTATTTTGTTGTAAATAGTGGAAAGTGTTGCACACATTTAATGTTTGTACTCTAACATTTTAAAATTACAAACTAAATTATTAAAAGTTTACCAATAAACATTCTATATAATATTGAAAATGTTCAATGCCCTTGTATGAGTTTAAAAAGTACTTTACAAGTTGTTTTCGAAAGGCTGTGGCAGAGCAAGTTCATGCAAGTTGCTATTTTTGTATCAAAACAGGAAGCGAGTTCCATAACTTTGGTACTGGAGTTTGACGTTGTCGTGGAGAACGGTGAACGGCAATTGTCGAAAGGAGATTGCATGGCCGAAAGGGACTATGTTTACACTGTTTTGATAAACAAATTTCACTTATTGGATTCACTTTGCATAGACTGGAGACTAAATGGAGCCAATGTTTACCACAGACAGTTACAGTATAAATCAGTTGTTATTTTATTTCACCAAGCAAAACCCATGGCTACTTTCGGTCGTGCAATCGCCGTTCGACAATTGACATTCGCCATTTTAACCGAGCTATATTGTTCCTATGTTTGATACTTAAAGTATAGTTTAAAACACGAGAGCGAGTGTTTTATCAGGTATAAAGATTCGAGCCGAAGGCGAGAATGTTTATACCTGATAAATCACGATCTCGAGTGTTTTAAACGGTTTAAAAAACTCCAACACTAATTKGAAACTCAAATCCGTTAAAATTCTTGGAGAAATTGCCGTACAAATATGTTTAGAGATAAATGGGGCAAACTGATCATGCGCGAATCACTTAACAAAGAACTCTTGTCATCCCACATTGAATACGCATAAAGTAAAATAGAAGCGCTCTTGGCTGTTCACTGAAATCGGTTGACATCCTGCATTGGTCAATGATCAGGTTTCAAACCTGAGACCTTTGCTAGGGTCATGGACCTTTATATCTGATAAAGGTCACCCTTATTAGTATTCTTTATATAAAGAATACTAATAAGGAGTGTTTTATAAGATATAAAGGTCCATGCATGTGACCAAATAGACTCATTCTATTGGCCTAGTAGCTCATTAATTATGTATGAGTTTTTTAAGTTGATTTCATTGTTTTAACCATTTCATTTCTATAGGTTCATGCCGAGACATGCTGTTTAAATGGGAAACCAGCGGCAAGGCACTAACGATGTTTGTATTCAAGACAATCGACAATATCGACAATCGTTTATGTAGAGCAAAGTGCTTCATTGAGCAAAATCGCTGTCTATCGTACAATTATCACATCAACTCAAAAACTTGTGAATTGAGCGAATCAGACCACTTCATAAATCCTGAAAAGATGGTAAATAGACCTGGTTCTTTGTATACTGCTGCTGAGGTAAGTCATGGCAACAGCATTTATAATAAAGACCCCTATGTGTTTCTTGATAAGGGAATTTCTTTTCAGAATACGTGCAAATGTGCCAAGCATGAATTATGTCGATATAAACCCTCATCAGATACATTCTACTGCGTGTGCAACGACAATTATCCAGGTTCTAACTGTCTCGCAAGTAAGTATTACTTAATAGGCACACGGCGGTCATCCATAGTACTTAGCAGGAGCCACCGGTTCCTAGGAGAAATAAGTCACAACTGGTTGCCAGCGAGAAATTCAGGAAAAATGAACTCTCCAGGCATGGAATACTTTCTAAGAATTTTTGTTAGGAAAA